CAAGTTGTCTGATTGGCTCCGAGCTTGGATTAGGGCCAAAGAGACGCATGTGGCTCGTGAGCCGCAGTTTGCCGACCACTGTATTAGGGCATTACGACAATCTGACTTCATTGAAAATCCTTTAGGTAGCCCTAACCGGTTTGGCTCAGTGGATAGAGCGTCAGCCTGCGGACTGAAAGGTCCCAGGTTCGATTCCAGTCAAGGGCATGTACCTTGGTTGCGGGCACATCCCCAGTAGGGGGTGTGCAGGAGGCAGCTGATCGATGTTTCTCTCTCATCGATGTTTCGGACTCTCTATCCCTCTCCCTTCCTCTCTGTAAAAAATCAATAAAATATATTTTAAAAAAAATTTGAAAATCCTTTAGGTAAATGTTGTTGTTTTAATTGAGGGATAATGTAAATAAAAGTGCAGTATCTCATGTGTACTGCTTGATGGCCTTGTAATATAATCACATTTGTGTGTAATTCAGGTCAAGCTAGGAAATATTTCTGTCATCGATGCAGCTCCTTCTCGGTCTGTAACCAACACTCCCCTCCCCCAGCTAATCACCATTCTAATTTTCAGAGGTGCCTTTATTGTAAAGGCATTTTAAAAAATTGTGGTGAAATACATATAACAAATACCACTTACGATGGATTAACCATTTTTAAGTATTCAGTTCAGTGGCATTTAGGTGCATGCCTTCAAGATATTCTTTACATTTAAATGGCACTGGTCATACTTTCTTGGGGTAAAACAACTGAATGAAACGGAAGCAACTAGAGTAGAAAGTGAAAGTTCCCCCAACATTAGTATCATCCTCAGAAGGAACCGCTATTTTCAGTTTTTATATCCTTCTAGACCTTGCTTGGTGTAATGTCTTGCAGATATCTATCCACACAGGAAAACATGAGATATATGTACATGTTTTACATTTATAATTTTGTTTAGAATCCTTGATTGACTGATTGTAACTAGCTTTATCACGTGCAGTCAGAGCAACTCCATCACATGCTGCCATGGGGCTGAAATGAGATCCTGAATGCAAAAATGCCTTATAGGGAGCAGACCCAGACCTTGAGGAGGACGTTCTGTTTGACATCTGGGCATCAGCTGTGCTGCCTCTCCTCATTCACTCAGACACCCGGGCCTTGCGTGCTTCCATCCTTCCTCCTGACTCCTTGCTCCTGACCCCTCTTGCTGCCCTTGCAGGACCTGCTCTCAGATCCTGCAGCACCTAAAAGGCCTTAGTTATCTCCGACCTCTGGGAAGTCACCTCAAGTATTCAACTTTTAAGCAAGGACCAAAGCCTTAGGTTGGGTGGATGAAGGCTGGTGGAAGGCATCATTAACCAGCAGGCAGGGGCAGACACTTCAGGGAGCAGGTTAGCCCTTAGGCCACCCCTGAAATCACATTGTTGGCCTTCAGCTGGCTCTGACCCCAGAAACCAGTCTAAATGCCAGCCAGAACCCAAGGCTTCCCTCCTGCACCCCCCAATTGGGCACTGGCCCAATCTGTGGTCAGTAAGCAGGGCCCAGGATCTCAACGCTCCTCCCACAGCTCAGGCTCCTGGTCCCTAGGAGGTGAGCCTTAGTGAAACCCCACCTGCGGCCTCTGGGAAACAGACCTTATTTCAGAACACTCTTCTCTGAGGAACGTGTGGTGTGCTTTCTTTATGCGAAGAAAATCCCAAGCTGCCTGATTTTTTACTGATAAGTAGGCTTTGCCACTTTTGGTTAGTTTCATCACACCTGCTTTTCTTCTGTGGGAAGTTCAGCTCCTGAGGGTGTTGGGCAACTTTTTTCTTTCCTTCCTCCCTTCTTTTTTTGTTCTCTCCTGCACTTTGGATACAGTATAGTACAGGCAGCCATGAATTCACTCAACAGCCCATCCCATCGAGGCCCTGCCCTGTTCCAGGCACCTAGTTTAGTCTTGAGAACTCAGTGGGAGTGGGCTGGACCAGGACCCCTCTCCTGGGGGCTTTCCATCTGTAACATCGGGAATTATCCAGGGTAACAAAGAGATTCCTGGGAGGCTGGCAGCCACAAAGTCTTGAATAGAGCAGCAGGAATGATCTCGAATCTCTGCCTGTTTCACAGCCAGGTTTTGATGTTGTTAATACTAAGGGGGGAAAAATCAGGTTTTAAAATCTTTCTATTTTTAAAAAATATTTTTATTGATTTCAGAGAGGAAGGGAGAGGGAAAGATAGAAACATCAATGATGAGAGAGAATCATTGATCAGCTGCTTCCTACACGCCCCCTACTGGGGATCGAGCCCTTGACTAGAATTGAATCCGGGACCCTTCAGTCCATAGGACGACACTTTATCCACTGAGCCAAACAAGCTAGGGCAAAAAAAATCAGACTTTTTAAAATATAGAAGAGAAAGAGGGAAAATAATTCCAATATCCAGATGATCCTTGTTGAATTTTTTCAAAAGTTAATATGCATGCATGATTAGAAATTTCAAACCTAATGGAAAGGCACAGAAATGAAAAATGTAAGTGCACTTGTGTGACTGGGCACACACAGTACCGCCTCCTTCTTTCCTCAAAGATGAAATCTTAATATTTTCATATTCTTAACGCAGCTTTCCAAGAAAAATTGTGTTTCCAACTGGAGCCTTTACCTGAAACGGGCCCCACTGTGTCCCTTCTTCTTGCTTTTTCATCCCAGTGCTGTTTCTGTATCAGTCCATCACGCTATGGGCAGACCGTAATTACCTAACCACTCCCCATTGATGGACATTTAGGTTATTTCCAGCAGCTTACTAGGTAGGTTACATCTTAAAGGTTTGAAATTTCCCCAGCAAGCATGCCTTCCCTTCTTCCACTCCCCGATCACCGAGAAAAGCAGATCCCTTTGGAAAGTTTTAAAATTCATTTTCATAGTTGATTTTTTTTTAATGTAGTCAGGGAAAGGAAGGTAACTTATCATTCTTATGTTGAATGCTTACTGTATTGACAGGCTCTGAAAGGAACTTTATGTCCATGATTTCATTTAGTAATTTTAAGTAAGAATTACTTTCCTGATGTTTTAGACCAGGAACCTGAAGGTCAGAGAGGCCCCATAGCCAAGGTGGAGTTCAGCTACAGTTTACACAGCTTGGACCAGCCCTGGACTTTGTGCGCGCCGTCTTACTTCCCTTAGTTCTGTCCATTGTTCTGTGCATCTGCATCCACACAGAGCTCAGGGCGAGTTTTCTTCATCCACCTTTGTGAATTTCTGCTCAGAACTTCTAACTGGGTGGTGTTTTGCTCCGTGTTTGGTCTTGGTTTTCTGCTTCTGAAAGCTTTGGTTATGTATGGCATGCTCTAGCTTTCACAGGGAGTAAGCGTTGATCAGAGGAAGCTGTCACTTCATCTCGGGGCCCTAACTTACCGGGTTCAGGTCCTTTATGAGAGGATGGGGGACATCTGGGGCTACATTTGATCACTTGGCATCCCACGTGGGCTCTGATGGATGCTGTCTGTCAAGCGGTGCACTCACTCTGAATGCCCTGGGCTCTTGGTGGGTGGTGTCTGTAATTCGCTATCTGGGTTTCCTGGACACTAGAATCATGTCTCAATTGATTTGTCATTTTTGTGGATGAATAATCCTAAGTGGGTAAATAAAAATTAATGTTTGTATTTGGATGCTAATTTAGCTTTCAATTACGTTTTGTTTTGAGTGTTATTGAAATTAATTTGTGTTCCTTGAGCACATTCTACTTATTGGCAAGATACAGTGGCCCCCAGAATACAGCTGGTCGTTGTTTGGGGTAAATTCAGAAGATGGATAAACCATATCAAGATAATGGGAAAGTTTACTTGAAAACTTTTCCCTTTTTAAATGACAGAATGATGTCTGAACATCATCCAGACCCTGGAAAGAGAAAAAGACTTCCATGAGAACCCTGCCCCAAACAAATCAGGCTGTTTTCTTTTGACTTTGCCCCTTTCTAGTCCTGGTCCATTTGCAGGTAAATACTTTTTAGAGAGTACTAAATGGAATGGAGTTTGAGCTCCTGGTGAAGCACTGTTATTTTAGGAAGAGCTTGGGGGTTGGGATTGGGCAAGCTTCTATTGAAATTCTGACTCTTCTGCTCAGTAGCGGTGTGACATTGGGCAAGTCACTAAACACTTCTGAGCCTCTATTTTCTCATCTATAAAGTGGGACTGATAATCCCTATATCTCCTGGTTGTTATAAGGACTGAGATAAGCCATGTTTTCCAGAATATGGGACATGAACCACTGGTGCCACAACAGGCCTTCATTTCTCTTAGAAGCCTTCTGACTTTCTAGGGAAAAGTTCTTTGGGCTAAACTTCCTTTGGGAATGAGCTTTAATGCCTTGCTGATACCTGCTCCCCTTCTAAAGAAAGCCAACGTTTGGCTCATTCAGTTACCTTGCTTTTCTTTTCTGTTATTTTTATAATAGCAAGGTACACTGGTGTTCCATTTCCTTTAGTGATACACAGTTTCTTTTAAAACAAATTTATTTAAATAAGAGTTAATAACAATAACAGTGTGCTGTAGTTAAGACAAATTGTGCAGGTGGCATGTGGGTTTGAATTCCAGTTTTTCCTCCTCCTGGCTGTGCAACCTTGGGTGGTCAGTTAACATCTCTGGCCCTCAGATTCCTTATCTGTAAAATGAGGATAACACTAGTACTGCCTCTTGGGGTTGTAAAGTTTAAATGAGGAAATATCGTCAGAGCCCTTAGAACACATCTGGCACGTACAAAATACCGTCAAGTGTTCGCAGTTTTGAATGCAAATGACTGACTTTGGGACACTGGAGATGATGTTGGCGAAGTGCAGTTTCTGACTTAGCACCGTGGGCAGTAAATGCTAGCTGGTGTTACTGTATTGATTACTTAATAATGATGGTGTTAATAATAGTCATAATAACAACTAGGAGGTAGCATTCGTTGCTTTGGAAATGAATTTCTTGGGGCAGAAACTCTCAGACAGCTTGATAGGTTCCAGTGAGATGCAAAGGTTCAAATCCGTCTGTTATCTCGGTTCTACTTCTCTAGGCCAAGCCCAGCATTCGGTGCTTTATTAAACCCACCGAAACACTCGAGCGGTCCCTTGAAATGAACAAGCACAAGGGCAAGCGGCGGGTGCAAAAGAGACCCAACTACAAAAACGTCGGGGAGGAAGAAGACGAGGAGAAAGGGCCCACCGAGGATGCCCAAGATGACGCCGAGAAGGCTAAAGGTACAGAGGGTGGTTCAAAAGGCATCAAGACGAGTGGGGAGAATGAAGGTGAGTGCGCCCGTGAACGCTGCCCTGCTGCCCACTGCGAGCCAGGCTGTCATTTGTGTCTGGTCCCCCCTGTGTCAGTGGGTGCTTCTCTTCATTCCTGACACCAGTGTACCTCACTCTAAACCAGTGATTTTCAACCGTTTTCATCTCATGGTACACATAAACTAATTACTAAAATTCTACAGCACACCAAAATATATATTTTGCCCATCTGACAAAAAAAAATGTAATATTTGAACACTAGACAGCTATTTGTTGTGTTGGCTGTTGTTATTTTTTTACTTGAAAGTCTAAGGGGAAAGAGGTCAGTGCCACTGATTAGTCAGGTATTGCATGTTTTAAAAATTCTTGCAGCACTCCAGTTAAAAATCGCTGCTCTAAACAACCCCGCCAGTTGAAGGTAGATCTGGTATAAGGCCTGCCCTCACTGGATGGGTAACCTGGAGCAGGGTTCTGTTTTTGTTTTTTTTTACATTTTATTGATTTTTAGGGAGAGAAGAAGGGAGAGGGAGAGAGAGATAGAAACATCAATGAGAGAGAAATATTGATCTGCTGCCTCTTGCATGCCCCCTACTGGGGATTGAGCCTGCAACCCAGGCACATGCCCTGATCGGGAATTGGACCGACGACTTCTTGGTGCATGGAATGACACTCAACCCACTGAGCCACACTGGCTGGGCAGGGTTCTGTACCCTTAATCTGTATTTCAGTTTCCCCATCCGTAAAAAGAAGGTAACAAATAGCATTTACTTTTTCTACAAGAATTAAATGTGTTAATACATGTATGTAACATGCACAGAACAGTGCTTGGCCTGTGTCATAAATATTTGCTGCTACTACTATTATTACTACTGTTGTTATCATCATCATTTTTATCATTATTGCTGTTCTTATTATTCATGATAACCTGGATTATTATTTTTGACAGAAGTCATTCTTCCTTGCACTGCAGGAAGAAAAGTGGGGAGTGTTTAATGAACTTACATGCTTTTAATAAGATTTGTTTCTTGTAATCAAATAATGAAATATAGTCCCTTGGATTCTTGCTTTAAGTTTTTTTAAAGTTCCATGTGTTTAGAGTGAGGTACACTTGTGTTTGCTCCCTATGGGCTAAATAAGCAGAATAGTTCAGTCCTCTTTTTTGCCTTTGTCAGGAATGATTCTGTTTTATTTTTCACCTCCCTCTTATAGATGTTAAGACCTTCTTAATATGGAGAGCATGGTCTGCTCTGGGATTAAGCAACTTTAAACTGTCCAGTTCCTTGTGTCATGGGCCGGGCACACAGCCACACAGATGGGGTCCCTGGCCACAGCCCTGAACATTCGGGGTGAAAAAGGTGATGGGGTGGAAGTGGGCTGGGGGCTCTGGTTGCTAGAACTGAATTCCCACCACACCCCCTAGGACAGGCACGGGCTCTCTTTGGCTCTCGGCTGTGGTCTGCTGGGGGTGTGAGGTCCTGGGCTAGCAGTGGCTGCTCTGAAGCCAGCTCTCTTCGGCCCATCTGCCTGGACTATGTGAGCCCCTAGTCCCAGGCGTCTGAAGCTGGGAAACAGAGTGGCTCAGTAAATCAGTGACTGGGAACTCACTTGTTTGGGGAAGTTTGCTGCAATTATGCAGCCAAAGCCCGCCCCCGCCCCCACACCACTGGCCCCATTCTGATTTTCTTGGCAGCTCTCAGTGAATGCCACGATCACATTTCGATAAGTATCTCCAAAACATCTCTCTGGTGCCACCTGGCCCTCTTTTTAAGGCTTAGAGTTCCAGTATGCTTTTATTTCTGTTCAAAGTGTGTAGTAAGCATTTTGGTTTAGAAATTCTCATTTGGCTCGGAAAATCTTTACCAACATATATCACTTTAGAGAAGGGGCATGGGGGAGGGGCAAACACAAGGGAAGCCATACTTGTTTGTTTATTTGGATCATTCGGATTTTTAAAAAACAACAACTTGGGAGCAAATTGTCAGCTTAAGTGCTAGATTTAGCTGTCCTGTAGCCACATCAGGGGGCAAGGGATGACTTTACCCCATTTTGTACTTTGTGTTCTCGTCAATTTTGTCTTGGAAAGATGCTACCCTCTTTCATTCCAGTCCTTTTAAGGGCTGCTCTCTAACCAGGCCTGGGCTGTGACTAAACGTGGTGTGGACAGGGCAGTGTTGGCCTCAAGCACACAACCAAGTGAGTCAGCCTAGCGTCTCCATCCTCATGCACAGGCGCTTCACTGGCTCTGCAGGCTGCAGTTCCAGCTTGCTGTTGCGCTGAGTTAAGGACTCCTGCACCCTGAGCCCACCTGCCCTGTGCAGCGGGTAAGGGGAGAATGCTCACCAGTTTCCAAAAACCTATTTTCCAGGCAGTCACTTGGCCAGGTTGTGCCAGACAGGGCCCAGGAATTTCTCCAGAGGTTTTGTTTGGCTCTCAATGATCCCCTCAGCATTTTGGTACCTTCTTCTTTTTTTTCTTTTTTTTTCCTTTTTATTTTCTTGACCGTGCATCCAGCTCACCATAAATAAATACGATTTCCACAGGCCCATCCACCAAACAGACACCTATTGGACAGCAGGATTTGTATTCTGGGGCATTTGAACCACATACTTGATCTCTTAGTTATTCTCATATTTGAAGGTGCGGCTGGTGGGTGTTCTCTTCCCTCGACTGTGTTTGTGTTTGAATGAAACCACACAGCTGTTAATTCCTGTGACTTGGAAGGGCATCAGGCACATGTCCTAATTCAGTTTCAAGCCAGAGGACAGTAGATGGGGGAGGTGCCTGGGAGATGGGAGACCTGACTTGCAGACTTATAGGTTTGCTGTGGGCCTTGCTTGGATGGTCTTCTCAAGCTTGAGGCCTTTCTTTCTTTCTGGAAATTATGAGTATAGAAAATATGATTCATGTGACAATTTTTGTGTTGTTGTTGTTAATCCTCACCAAAGGATATTTTCTCCATTGCTCTTCAGAGAGAGTGGAAGGGAGGGGGAGGTAGAGAGAGAGAGAGAGAGAGAGAGAGAGAGAAAGAAACATTGATATGAAAGAGACACATCAACTGGTTGCCTCTTGCACGCGCCCCGACCAGTGGCGGGGAGTGAACCTGTGACCCTTTGGTGTGCGGGCCAGTGCTCTAACCACAGAGCAACATTGGCCAGGGGGACAACTTTTTAAATGAAGATATGTTGGTATTCTTGAGTTTGCAAGATTTAGAAATTCACCTCTGGTTGGCTGAAGCAAAAGGGGTGATTATGTTTATGTAATTGGGAGACCAGGCAGGGCTGGACCCAAGTGCAAAGATGACCATTGGCAGCACCAGGCTCACATCCTGCCAACTTACCACCAAGTGGAGAGGGAGCTGCTTCTTCCCACTGGCTGCAGCTGAATCCTGGGGGCTGATGCCTGTTGGTGCTGATGGGCCTGGCTTGCCCACCAGTGGAAAGGGATGTTCTGTGCTGATTGGCCAGGCCTGGGTCACGTGTCTCCCAACAGTGGCTCCCTCAGTAAAAATGAGGAGTGTTTATCAGAAGAAGGGGGTTAGATGCTGGGCGAGCACAAACAGCGGACCCTCCCCTAGAAAGCCACGGTATTCAGTGTCCTCATCCCCCGAGGGCCGTCTTCTCCCTTCCTGTTCTGAGGTGGATAGGTGGCTTTCCCCTCCAAATGATCTCTTCTCTAGCAAACGTCTTGCATTGTCTCTGGGTCTAGGGGCTTATTGACAGCCTGGCTGTAACAGATGGGCACAGGTGACTCTTCAATAAAGAGATGCTGACACCAGTTTCCCCCTGCATACCCTGCCATCCCCATGTTAGTGGTGAAATCTTTTCTTTAAAGGGTGGCTTAAAGCACAGGAGTAAAAAGGCATGTGGTTGCAAGTCACAATTTTGCCATGACCTGATTTGAATATGGCATCAATATGTGTGCTTTTTTTTTTTCTATAAATGCATCACCCAAAATTCACACCTCCTCCACATTTAAGTCCAGACAAGGATGTTGTGTGAAATGAATGTGCTCCCCTGGACCCTCCACTCCTATCCCCGATTTGCAAAGAAATTTGTTCTGCCTCAGTGTGATGGGTGACTCATTCTGAAACCAAGAAAATCACAGGGCCCCTAAATTTTCAGAAGTTGAATACTGAAAGGAAGACGAGGGAGCCCTTGTCCCTGCAGCTGAAGGAGTGCTCGCTTGGACATGTGCTCATGTCTTAGCTTGCTCTGCAGTCTGAAAGGGTAGTCGTCTCTTTCCAGATTCACTTAGAGCAATAACTTTTAAACATGCCTGAGACAAGAGAATGAATAATTTGAACTTCTTGTTTGAAAAATAGGATTTGGTTTCTGTTTCTTGGCCTATGGAAAAGGTAGGCATCCATTTCACAGCCTGACCTTCAGAGCCTACCTACCCTTGTCTTGGAATTCCAGCAAGGGCCTGGCGTGCAGGTGACAGCACTGACTTTGAACTTGCCAGATCAGCTGGGACTTGAGGGGAGCCTGGGAGCTTGCAGCCCCAACTTGCTTTTTTTTTTTTTTTTTTTTTTTTTTAGTCTCTCCTGACATGAAGTGGAGCCTGGCCTCATTTCTGACTCCTCTTATAAAGCCAGAGTCAACCCCAGACCCAGCAGTTTTCTGATTGGGATGAGCCAGGGACTAGCTGTCAGGAGTTTAGGGTCTGAATCCAGACCTGCGGGTCTGTTCCTGAGTAGCTGTGTGAACCTAGGAAAGTTATCACCCTTTCTGTGCTTCTCTATCAATAGAGGGGGCTTCATAATGCCCTGTCCTCAGGGTATCAGAAATGAGACCATCAGTGCCTCAGCATTTAGCACGGGACACATGAGCACTGAATAGGAGGAACCCTGGCCAAGGTGGAGAGTAGAGTGAGGAGCTTGGAAGTGGTACTTGAGATGTAAGGGGGGACTTTGTTTGTGTGCACCTGGCAAGTTTCTGGAGGGCCCGTTTCCCTGTTAATTTCTATAAGGAATAGCGAGAGGTGTGTGTGTGTGTGTGTGTGTGTGTGTCTGTGTCTAGAACAACGGTTCTCAACCTGTGGGTCGCGACCCCTTTGGCAGTCGGGTTGTTCTAAGACCATCCTGCATATCAGATATTTACATTACGATTCATAACAGTAGCAACATTACAGTTATGAAGTGTCAACGAAAATAATTTTATGGTTGGGTCACAACATGAGGAACTGTATTTAAAGGGCCAGAAGGTTGAGAACCACTGGTCTAGAGGGAGGAGAAGGATTGGTAGGCTGGACACTGTTGTACAGAGCAGGTGGGAGTGCGCACTTCTCCAATGGGCTTAATTAGTATAAGGAGAAGGATTGGAGGTCAGTTTAGACAAATCCTCTGAAAAGCAACTTCCCAGAAAAACATTCTGAATTCAATCTCATGCTACTCAGTAAAATATTAAAAAACAACAAAACAAGAAAAGGGGAGCCCTAAATACTCTGCACATACACACCCTGTTGTTGCCAGTTCCTCTTTGCCTCTTGAAATTCTGCTCTAAAACCAGCCAGTAGCATGCCCTGCTTCCCTTATATCCTAGGTAACCAGCAAGAGCATCTTTCTCCTCCTTCCCTTAACCTTCTCTCAGAGGCCTTCTTATTCTCCCCTCCCCCTCTGTTTGTTGTCTGCCCCTGCTGTGATTGCTGGAATGGAGAACACAGAGGGCAATGGAGAAAATCCTGGAATTTGTGAAGTCAAAGACTATTGGGAGGTCATGCCTGCCATTTCCCTGAAAAGTACTTCATTTACCAAATATTAATCAGATTAGAATGTACATCATCCCAGGCAAGTTGATGAATTGTTGCTGTTATTTTAAAAAATCAGAGTCAGAGTGTTGGGGAAGCGCATAGATTTGGCCAGTTGTCATAATGAGAGGCAGAAGTTGACATCCTTGCGTCCTTAGGCCTCTGTACATTCACACTGTTGTGCAGCGGTCGCCACCATCCAGCCCCAGAACTCTTCTCATCTTCCCCAACTGAAACTCTGTCCTCATTAAACAACTCCCATTCTCCCTCCCCCCAGCCCTTAGCAGCCACTGTTTCACTTTCTGTCTCTCTGACTGAATTTGACTGCCCGAGGTTCCTCATAAAGGGAATTGTATAGTATTTCTCCTTTTGTGACTGTCTTCTTTCACTCAGCATAATGTCCTCGGGGTTCAACCAGATTGTAACAAGTGGCAGGATTTCCTTCCTATTTAAGATTGAACGATAGTCTGTTTTTGGGGATAGACCACATTTTGCTTATCCATCCGACGGACACTGGGTTGTTTTCTTTGCAAACCGGGGATAGGAGTTTTCAATTTTTTGCTACTACAGGCCTGGGTGTGCAAATCCTCTTCTACTCTGGAGGCTTTGGGGGAAATGATATTGTAGAAATGTTAGAGGCTGAGGAGGGCCTGGGCAGAGCCTGCTGAAGCCAGAGGAGCTGGAGATTTGGGTTTCATCTCCCAGCATCACAGCCTCCAGCATGTTCCTCCACTCCCAGAGGCTCAAGACTCTAGTAGTGTAATGGTTTGCTGGAGCCTTCAAGATTATGTGCCATGGTGCCTGGCCCAGAAACAAATACCACACAGATGCTAATTTACACAGCATCTGGGAGTGGGGGTAGAGGCCCGTCACCTAAAAAAAGAAGAAAAAAAAAATTCCTCTGTGCCTCAGTTTCCCCTTTATTAAAATGCAGAGATTATGTTAGATTTGCATTGTCCCAACTGTGGGGTATGGAGATCTTTTTAGGTGGGACAGAGTGGGCCTTAAAGACTGTGGTGAGAGGATTCTTGTTATGTGATTAGCTCCAGGGGATCCTGAGGTTTTCAGTGCCATGTCTTTCACACCTCTCTCCCATTCCTGAATCTCTCCTTTCCCATGCGCACAACCAGCCTGGGTACCTGGGTACCTGGGTACCTTTTTTTTTGTTTGTTAATCCTCAGTCGAGGATACTTTCCCCCCATTGATTCTCAGAGAAAGTGAAAGGGAGGGAGGAAGGGAGGAAGAGAGAGAGAGGTGAGACATATCGAGTGGTTGCCTCCTGCATGCGTCCTGGCCAGTTCTAGGGATCAAACTTGCAAACCAGGTATGTGCCCTTGACTGGGAATCGAACCCTCGACCTTTTGTTGTGTGAGCCATTGCTGTAACCACTGAGAAATACCAGCCATGGCAGCCTGGGTACCTTTTTATTTATTCTTCGTGTATATTACTTTCACAGTTGCTTTCTGTTTTTATTGGTTTTATGCTTACAATAGTATTGCAGATTTATAAAAAGTTAAAAATAGGATAAAGAACTCCCATTTACCCTTTACCCAGTTTCACCTTTCAACATATAATATACCCCATTTGCTTTCTTATTTGCTTAAACTCTGTCTCTACACACATGCACACACACACACACACACACACACACACTCGCTCACAAACATTTTTATCCTGCCCCTTCCCTTCTAAATCCCTCGGTGTGCATTTGCTAAGAATAGGATATGCTCTTTCATGACCACAGTACAGTTATCAGCTTCATACTAGTTTTCTGCTGTCCATGTTCCAGTCTATCCACTGGCTCATTAATAATGTCCTTTGTAGCCTATTTCCTTCCTCTAGTACAGAATTCAGTCTAGAATCAGGTCGTGTCTTTCATCATTGTGTCTCTTTAGCCTCCTCTACTCTGGAACATTTCCACAACCTTTTTTTCTCTTTTACAACATTGACCATTTTGAAGAGTACAGAACCTCCCCCGCTTTGTTTTAATAAAGTGTTCCTCATTCAGTCTTTGATGTTTCTCTGTGATTAGATTGAGGTTATGCATTCTTGATTGGAATATGGCATAGGTGACGTCATGTCTTTCTCGGGGTGTCAAACCTGGATGTCCTTCTGTTCCTCATGGGTGATGTTAATTTTGGTCACCTGCTTAAGGTATTGCCCAGTTTCTCCACCATACAGTTACTTTATTTTTTCTTTGCAACTAATCAGCAATCTTTGGGGAGACCCTCTGATTATGTAGATATCCTGTGCCTCATTAAAATTCCCCCTTAGACTTGGCATTCATTGATGATTCTTGCCTGATTCCGCCTTTACCAGGATGCGAGCAAACTGTTGTCTTTCCAACACCAGCACTCTTCATGTTTAAAAGTCAGCCCTCAACATTCCACTGTAAATAGGCTTCCTCCTTTCTCTCCATTTACTTATTTATTTCTCTATTCTTGGCATGGCTTCATGGATTTCAGTTTTGTAATTGTTTATATTTCATTACTATATTTAATTAATTTGATTCTGAAATTGTCCCAGATTTAGCCATTAGGAATCCTTTCAAGCTGGCTGCTATGTCCTTGTGATAAGCCCCCATCATTTTTTCAAACACTCCTTATACTTTCTGGCATAACAAGGTATTCAGGTTCATCTTGTGTCCGCTCTGCCCATCCCTGGGATTAGGCATTTCTCTGAAAAGCTCTGGTTCCTCTCAAAGGGCAATGGTAATTAGAAGCCAAGATCTGGTTACTAGATGTGCTCATTTCTGCTGGGTTGTCTGGCTTTTTGGCCCTTTTAAGGGACAGAGCTAGAAAATATATGCATGTATATGCACAAAATATACATTTATTCATTTTGTGCACATATACATATTTTAGAGATAAGTTCATACCAATACCTCCAGTTCTGATCAATTCCCAGCAGGCTGTTTCCTGCCTTCCTCCATTTCAGATTTGTATCTCTACCTCTATAGTGAGAATTCTGGCTCCCAACAACATTACAAGATCAATAGATCTTATTTTCTCAATCCTCTAAACACATCTAAAAATTCTTCAGAATTAAGTATTGTGTTTATAGAGTTAAGTATTATGTTTATAAACTACTTGGATTAGTCTATCCTTCCTTCCTTTCTTTCCCCCTTCAGAGAGGTGTGATATTCATTTGAAATAAATGTGGGCATTTCAAATTTTTTTTCTGTTTAGGGTTTTCTCTTCACATTGATTTAATTTTTTTTTAGATATATGGAATATTAACAAACTCAAAACTATGTCAAAAGGTATGTTTAAAGATGTGTCCCTCCCTCCCATAATCCTTTCATCCATTCCCCCCACCTCTTGTATATAAGCAACTTGATTGTTTTCTGGAATATCTTTCCTGTGTTTCTTTTTGTAAAAAGAAGTGTGTATATGTATGTTTTCCCTTCTTTCTTACACACAGAGTGGCACTTGATCTCTTCAGTGAGCAGTATCTCTGGAACTCACTCCGTATCAGTTCACGGAGTTCTTCCTCATTTCTCTCTACAGCTGCACTGTGTGCGTGCACCATCATTTATTCAGCCAGTCCTCATGCTTGGACATTTAGGTAGTTTCCAATATTTTGCAATTACAGATAATACTGCCGTGAATACCCTTGTGGGTGTGCATTTTCTTATTGCTGGAGGTGTGTCTTCCAGATAAATTCCTGCAAGTGGGATTGTTGAAGGGTAGAATAGTTATTTAATTTCCTTTTTTTTAAAGTTTCTTTACAAAAGTTTTTTTATTCATAAAAATTTCTTAAATGTGTATAAGTAAACAAAGTGAGTTCAAACAAAGTGATTAAATAAATAGCAAATAGTACAGGCTAAACAGAGACATGGAAAATTGTAAAGGCAGGCAGATGACTGAAGTGTGAACAGAACAGGGCCAGGTTATTGTTGCAGTTCCTTCAGACTCCAAAAAAGAAACCTGGTTTGGGTGGGGGCTCATGATTTCATAACAGAGGCTCAGATGGAGCCCCCTGGGAATTTGTCATCAGAGCCTGAGTTTTCAGTGACTGTTAGTGGAAATCTGAGTTCACATGAGCCCACTGATCTGTTTTTCCTAGTGACGGTCGGTAGCATGGCATGCACACCCTGGGAGGCATGATGTCAATGCCGGGGCGGGGGAGGGGGGACAGGAGGCTAAGCAGAACCATGCCAGATGTCCTGGTGTGGCATTAAGAGGGGTTCACATTGACCCTGAATCACCAGGAAAGTCAAATCCTATTTTAAAGATGGCTATAGAATTTATTTTATAGCAGTGAGAATCTGGGGAGACCCTTGCATGCCCATGTAGCCTTTTGCATACACTAATTTTAAAAGCTGTTTGGATAAAATTGTTTAAAAGACACTGGGGAAAAACTCTTTTGGCATTGGAAGAAGTGTTCTATATTCATCTAGAAAATTAATCTAAGTCAATCTAACAGCTCACTCCACAACTATGCTGGCTGGGTCAGGAGTATATGGGAGGGATAGCGGTGCAGCTGTGAGAACCAGGGTGACCCAGCCGAGGTTTGGACACCTCGTTCTATGTGGAGAGGCCCTTGTGGGCCTGGTCCTGTACCAGGATGTGTCATAGGAGGTGAGGAGGAGGAGCAGTCCTGGCTTTCACTCTTACTTTTAGCTGTATTAAGAGTCACTGCTCTTCTGGGTTTCCGTTTCCTCAAATACAGTATCCAAGACCAAACCAGTGGTTTTCAGAATTCCATAAAGCAGCTTTAGGGGGCTCTGTGCACCACTTGAGGGAACCTGTGGTTCAGAGACATTTGGGACCCACCACTTACTACCTGGAGCAGCTGTGCTCTCATCAGCTTACGGGGTGGTGTACCACAGGAAAGTGTCCGAAATTAGTATCCAACTGCTTAACAAAGTTCGATGAGCACTGGACTGGCTTATCTTTAACCCCTCTCTCCTCTGCTCCAGAATTCTGATAGTGTCCAGGGAGGAGATTAGAAACTGAAAAGGACCAACCACATCACAGCAGGCTTATTCTTCAGGCCCAGGCGCTAGGGCTTGCCCCCATATCTTGGAGCAGGGGTCCTCAAACTACGGCCCGCGGGCCACATGCAAATACAAACATTGTATTGGTTCCCGTTTTGTTTTTTTACTTCAAAATAAGATATGTGCAGTGTGCATAGGAATTTGTTCATAGTTTTTTTTTTTAAACTATAGTCCGGCCCTCCGGTCTGAGGGGTCCTCAAACTACGGCTCGCGGGCCACCTGCAAATACAAATATTGTATTTGTTCCCGTTTTGTTTTTTTACTTCAAAATAAGATATGTGCAGTGTGCATAGGAATTTGTTCATAGTTTTTTTTTTTAAACTATAGTCCGGCCCTCCAACGGTCTGAGGGACAGTGAACTGGCCCCCTGTTTAAAAAGTTTGAGGACCCCTGGCTTGGAGGGTCCTTGGAGCTGAGTTCCTGCCAGGACAGCCAGGCTGGGAGGAAGGGGAGCTTGCGGTAGTGCAGGAGACAGGACAGAAACCAGAGTGGGAGGCTGGTGCTATAGGCTACCTTGGTAGTATTCAGATGTCTTTGCTGGCACACCCTATTAGTAAACACAAACAAACAAATACAGTCAAACTTCAGTTCTCCACCAAGTTGTTCATGGAAAATATGTCTCTGTTGTGGAACAAAACTTCAGTTTTCCACCTGACAACCCTTTGATGCTGATACCTCATCACCACAAAACTTGTCTCTCAGGCAACAAAGGAGAGAATGTTTTTGTTGCTGGGAAGTTGACAATTAGCACAATTTACAACATAATGAGGCCATCAAGATTGCTAATGTTGCTAAGGGTGTGAAAGTGCTCACAAAACAACAATCACTATTGAAGAGGTAGAAAAATTGTTGTTGATTTAGATCAGTGATGGCAAACCTATGACACACGTGTCAGGTGACACGCGAACTCATTTTTTTGGTTGATTTTTCTTTGTTAAATGGCATTTAAATATATAAAATAAATATCAAAAATATAAATCTTTGTTTTACTATGGTTGCAAATATCAAAAAATTTCTATATGTGACACGGCACCAGAGTTAAGTTAGGGTTTTTCAAAATGCTGACATGCTGAGCTCAAAAGGTTTAGATAAACGAAAAGCAGTTAACCAGTGATAGCATTTCAGAGGCAAAGATGCATGAAAAAGCAAAGATGTTGCATACCACCTCCTTAAAGACATCCCTGGAACAAGTGCTGAAAGTGATTCGTTTAAGGCTAGTAAGGGGTGGTTCAATAAATTTAAGAAAAGAAGTGTTTATAGATTAAGCAGTACATTAGATGTGTCCTGTATATAAAAAAGGTTAAAACAGGGAATCATTTGTGGGTTTGGAATGGATTAATTCAATTTACATTATTGAATTTACATGATCGGTTTTCGAACAAATTGCTTCTCAAACTGCCTTCTGGAACAAATTAAATTCGAGAATCGAGATTCCACTGTAAATACATAATTTACTCATGCATCTCCCAAATTATACATTTGATGTTATTGTGCTAATGTTATGTACATCATAAAAGCAACAAAATGGGTTTTTTAAAAGATGAGAATAATTAAAAGAGGTACTACCCATTGAATCATCTTGCATACCCATCGAGGTATTTGTACCCCACTGTGGAGAAGACAGGGGTAGCTGGGGGGCATCTGAAGGAGGTTGGTGGAGGTGAAGGTGCAAGGACAGGAAAGATTGATTTTTCTCAGTCAGCAGTCGGCACCAACTCCTGCTCATTGCTGCATCCATGTGCTACTTGCACTACTGTTTACTCAGTAGTTCTCTGAATCCACTCACTTGTTTTTTTCTTAAATTTAGCCTCATCCTAAGCAGTAACACCCCCAAAAGAACACATTTTCTGTGCAGTTGGGATTTTCTTCTAATGCACATTAAAATAAATGCACAACTATGCAAAGAAAACATTTGTCCACATACCACTTAAAAATCATGTCAGCCCCCACCTATGTACTGGGGGACAGCCCTGTGGGAGACTCCAGTCAGTGGCATCTGACTCTAGACCACAGTGTCGGGGTAGGGGCTAGTGAAAGCAAGGCCTCCCGTCCCCTGCCAGGGTCCGGGCCCATGTGGACCTGTGAGGGGTGCACTCCTCCACGCCACAGAATAGTCACAAACAGTCATTCCTGAGAGTCCCATAAGGGTGGTGGGGCTGTGGATCACCCCAATATATGTTGCAGCTGCCAGAACCTCCCACATGGGGCTAGACCAGTCATTCCTTTGTTCATTCCAGAGATCTCTATGAGCACCTGCCATGTGCCAGGCCCTGGACTAGACACTGGAGAAGTAGTGGGGAGCAAGGCAGCTAAGGCAGCCACTCTTATGAAACCCACATTATAGTAGGGGGAAGCAGGCAGGAAACAACAAACCAATAAATAGAAAGTATAAAATCCAGGGAGTTGGAGAAACCAAGATGGCGGCATAGGTAAACACCTGAAATTGCTGCCTCACACAACCACTTCAAAAATACAACTAAAAGACAAAACGGACATCATCCAGAACCACAGGAAGGCTGGCTGAGTGGAAATTCTACAACTAGAAGGAAAGAGAAAAGCACACTGAGACTCAGAGGAGGAACGGAAGTAAAGTGCAGAGGTACAGAGGCACACGCAGAAAGGGCTGGCAACTGAGGACGCAGTTGTCTTTTTCAATCAGGAGGGAGTCACAAGCTCCCGAATGCTCTGAACTCCAGTTCCAGGCAAGTCTCTGGGAACTCAGACTCATACGGGGAGAAACTGGACTGTCTGGCATCGGTCAGAACTCAAGGGCGGCTTTCAGTCAGAGGTGCTTGCAGTGATTACCTCGGGACACTGAGATCCAGGGCCTCTTAAGGCAGGGCTGAGGATCAGCCATAGCTGTTTGCTCCGCCCTCTTGATTCTCTGAGAACCCGCCCCACCCAGGCTGTGCGCAGAGGCTTTTGCATATGAATGGCTTGGCCCTTTGCAATCTAAAATTACCTAACAAACTGCAGCTGGGTCAGAGAGACCCAGAACATCCAAAAGAAGGCCCAAGACCCCACAGCAGCTTGCATTGCT